CTCACTAGGCCTCAGGTGATGGCTGTTACCTAATAAGTTCAGGACAGCCCTTCACCTGCCAGCACGTGTACCCAGGTTTTAGGCTAAGCAGCCCATCAGACATCAGGATGCTTCACATGGCAGTCTTGGATGTACAGTCTTAGCTTCTTGGGGCAGGGCGGAGAAAGCAGTTGAGTGCTGAAATGAAAAATATGAGTGGTCACACAGCAAAGTCATACAGTCAGCATTCAGTAGACACAGTGGTCTGTTTCTTGTGTTTTGAGCGATTTCTGGTTCCAATGGTGTTCCCCATTTTAAGTATAAGAAATGTGTCTCAAACCAGTAGAATCTTTCAAAATGGTATAAATGTTAAGTGCAACCCCTGCACTATTCATAAAGCGAGCTTTCTACCTGTGAAATAAACCCCACAAACCAAACTCCCCAGAAATGAGTAACCATTCTGTTTAGCTAGGGAGTTTTTCTCCCACTTTACTAAGGGAAAGGGAAGTCTTGATTCATCATTATGTCAGCCCTTAAGTACCTAATAGTTCCTTTCACATGAAAAACTTCTACTTGTCATAATTGTGTCCTCATTCCCCTGCTTCTTGCTTGGAGGCTTTGGGAACAAGTGGGGAATCTGGAGTTTGGGATGTGTGAAATGCTTATAAGGAGTAATGCATGTGTACCTTGGATTGCAGTCAGTGGAGGAAAAGAGGCTGAGGTTGGATTTTGGGGGTCTGGTAACAAAAGCGTCTTCGATCAAATTGTTTAAAACTTTTACAGTTCTTCACCGAAAGCTACTGATATCTCATTAAGTGTATAAGAGGTGCCATAGAAGTGGTTTTGTCATGTATCAGCAGTTTTCATGCTATAATGCGCCAGATCCTGTTGAAGAATTACTGTGGATCACACCAATGTGTTGTACTACATATTTATTAGAGGATATACATAATATATATGAAGTTTATTCCATTAAAATTTTGTTTTAAACATGTTAACATTCATGGGCCATAACAGATGTCTAAATTTTTAATGGTACAGTTACTGCATTAACAAGACACCAGTGTTTTATCTATCCTTTATATCTTGTGTTGATAAAAAAAGAATAATCTTGACACTACAAAATGTAGCATTAGCTGTTTTTTGGGGGGGAAAACTGTATTCATACTGAAAGTGTCTCTGTCCAGAAGAAAATACTTTAAATTTGAAACAAGAATGCTTCTCAAGAGACAAGATCCTGCTTCAGTCCCCATCTCTGACTTTTATGGGCCTGTGAATGAGAACATCTGAAAGCAGCAAGGTAATTGTAAATGTCCCAGCAGGCAATAAATGTGCTGATTTCAGATTCACAAGGTAAATGATGTTGGGGGAGGAAGGGATTTATATTGGATCTATAAAATAGAAGAGGATGGGGGGTGGGAAATGAACTCCCTGGTGTTAGTGCAGGGTCCCTGCCAAAATCTAATTCAGATCCTGTCTCTTGGCACCAAATGACTAAGGGATTGTGTTAAGAAACAAACAAAAGAACTTGACGAAATGAAAATAACAAGGGAAATTGAGGTTCTTCCAATGTATGATGAGCAAACAGCTAAACAATAGCTCAGTGGGATAAGAGAAACTCAAGGAGATTTTGAAGGCAAGGGTGGATACCACTGTGAATATGAATAATTTGGTCGCTGTACAAAAACAACCTCTAGATATTTTACTACATTTTACTGGATTTGGGAGAGGAGGGAAGTGCTTGAAATTCCTTTTCTAACATGTCAGGGCAAACGAGCTCTAAAGCCAAAGTTCTACATTGAAGGGGACTTTCATACTAGAGGAACTTATGCATTTATCTTGCTGTGAACGAACAAAGCTTTATCTGCTGCAAAATAATTATTTCCATGGCAATGGCTTGTGCTCTTATAAACAGAATTGTCTGTGCTACATGATCAAGAGAAGAAAAAACTTTTTTTTGACAGACAAGGTGGACATTCAGTTATCCCCAACAAATTAGCAGTGACAATGCCAAAGATTTTGTGTAGCTTTTTTGTATGTCTAACCTTTAACTTGATAGGAAAGAACTTCTGAGAGACCAAGTGACTGTAGCAGAATTTGAGGATGTAGAAGTAGGAAAGCTGTTGGGAAGTGCGATGGATATAGGCTGTGGCTGCTCTAAAGTGTGTGGTTCTGCTCTGAAAAGTGACTAGAAATGGCACCTTGGGGTTCTGTGTCTAATAGTGCACAGCAACACTATACAGTAGTTTGGGGTAGGAAGTGGATACCAGATCCAGTTTAAACCGCTTGGTGCAGTTATTCTGGGGTTGTTAAATTTGAGCAGGTCACCGTATGATTTTAATAACCATTGGCAGTCAGAACTTCAGTTTTTTCTCTTCCAAAAGGCCATCCTGTGAGCACCACAGTGCCTCACCTAATCCCCAGGGTGGGGCCCATGCTAAGGAAGATTCTTAACCAAACAAAGCAGATGGTAGGAATAGATATTTAGAGGGGAGAAATCTTCTTCCATGCCATGTAGGAAGGGAATCTGGTCTTACCCTCGCATTTCACTTCCAGAATTCCAGGGTCTGGGAGCAAATCTTGGATAGGTTTGTGGTCAGTTTGTTATAATCCATCAGAAGATTTCTGTCAAACCAAATATAGTTGTTTAAAAACTATGCAAAAATCATCAGCTAGAAAAACCAAATTATTACAACCCAATGGATAACTGTATTTTTAATCTTTGCATTGAAGTGTGTTCAGCTACACCTGAAAATAAGACCTGCCTAAGTCTTGTTAGAGGGAAGGTTGCCACCTGTTGAATCCCTGATACTACTACTTCAGCATCTGGAGCTCTCACTGAAATGCTGGCCCTGACTCCGTATAATTTAGGAACTCTGCCCAGATCACATCTTGAAGTGGTTTGACTGCAGACAGAAGGATTAAGCGTTCTTTGAGAATGAGGAAAAGGTCCCAGTGCGAAAGTAATTCACAGAAGGAACAGATTACAAGGAGAGATCTATAATGCAGATTTAATTTTTTCTTTATATAAAAAAAGTCATTTTATAAGAGACTCAAGCAGCCAGACTTGCATTATTTCCTCATGGAATGATGAGGAAATGTACGTTAGTAAACTAGAAACGCTGAATATTTTCCAAATTATCAGAAGGGAATGGTGCAAACTGGCACATGAGAAAGTAGGGAATCAGAAAGTACCATCTAAACAGATCATAGTATCATAGAATATCAGGGTTGGAAGGGACCTTAGGAGGTCATCTAGTCCAACCCTCTGCTCAAAGCAGGACCAATCCCCAATTAAATCATCCAATTAAATGGGTTATTGGTTCTCAGTTAAGACATTTTTCTCTTAAACTTAAACTTGTTCTCCTGACTATTAGATAGGGCAGGAACATTTTTGTTAAGAGAAAAACACCTTAAAATTAGGATCAACAGATTCACCAGGAGCTTTAATGTATTTTTAAATAGGAATTTGGGAGGATTGTATCACACAAACCAGAATATCCTGATTAAATAAAAATGGTTTTCAATGCTAAATTTCCAAGATCAAAAACAAATACAATAAACATTTATTCATTTCACCATTCATGTTTTATTCCCTTAGAATGGTACATCAAAAACTGGTAAGAATGCATTAATTTACAAATAGAGGAATGTAAAGAAGAGCCTATAATGCATGCTTTTTTAATGCACTTTGTACAAATGAAATAATTGTACAGGTCAATATTGAACACATTAACACTCTTTACAAGGTAGCTATTTTGACTCTCATTGGACTGTGGTTATGAATTCTGCTGGTCATCCTGAAAAAGCCAGTGCCGATAGCAAACATTTGTCCTGAACTTCTCTGTGACTTCCTTCAATGAAAAGCTTCATCTTCTGTTTGCAAAATCATCATGAATTTTGCAGTACTTCAGGACACTTGACTCCTGAACTCATGCTGTTCATTATTTCTCCCTGGATTTTAGTCAGATAACTTCTGTTAATTCGCTAGCATAAAGAATCAGGATATCTGTGCAACATGCATTTTGTTTCAAGGCCAGTGCCAGGTGTGCCAGTGGCATCTGCTTAAAGTGATGATTGATGCAATTTGCTAAAGCAGTATTCAGATTTTGGCCTGGATAACTTGCTTTCTGGTGCTCATTGTCATAGGAATTAGAGATGGAAAAAATCTATTGGGTCACCCTCTCTCTTTCCAATACAGGAAAGTCCCTTGCTTAATATTTCCCAATGGTTTGACCAGAGTGATTTGGCTTCCATCACTTCCCTAAGAAAACTATTCCACAGCTTAATCTTTCAACAAGTTTTTCTAATATATAGCCTACGTTTTCCTTTAAAGGGTCATCTGATTAAGATTTACTTCAGCAGACCCCCCACGCTTTGGATAATTTATCCTGGCACTCTGAGTCCCAGAGCTGGGGCTGCACATGTGCATTCACAGACTGTGGGATATTTGGGATTGAGGTTCCATGGAAACCCAGAGCTCCTACTTCCCCTAAGTTCTTTTCCTACTACAGTTGAGAATTGCTCCCGGAATCATTTCCCCTTCCTGACTCCATTACAGTGCTCTTTGTTCCTTTTCCCAGCCTGTGTTTGGACAGGTAATTAGTTTGCATTTTACTGATCTATAAAAATTGGCATTAGTAGCTTTGCATCGTGTCTGCACCAGTGTGGAGCCAAACCAAACTTTATCTAATTCTACTGTGTTTATCCATCGTGTGATGGATCTGGAAGATCAGCATTCAAGAAAGCATTGAGTTTTTATATAAATGATGAGAACAGGCAGACTTTAATCAATAAGGATTAGAAAAGAAGCCCAGCATCAGTTGGGAAGTTTGGAAGGGATTTGGGGCGGAGCAAATTCCGGGATACCTCAGACGAGTGGGTGAAGTAGAGTTTTGGCAGGTTGCTTTAAACACAAGAGTGCGACACACTGTGGCCGTTGTAGTTGCATTTTCTCCTTCTCCCACTAGTACCTTCCCTTATTCAATGTTTATTTTTTCTCTCTCTCCTCCCTTTCCTAGTCGTGGCGATTTATGACTACACAAAAGACAAGGAGGACGAGCTCTCATTTCAGGAAGGTGCCATCATTTACGTCATTAAGAAGAACGATGATGGGTGGTATGAGGGTGTCATGAATGGAGTGACGGGGCTCTTCCCAGGGAACTATGTGGAATCCATCATGCACTACTCTGAGTGAAGACCACAGGGTGCAGAGCTGCACCTTGCTCCACAGGAACTGTCAGGGCACCTCAGCTCTCCACCAGCCCCTAGGGGCCCACCCAAGTGAACTGAATGAAGGATAATTGTAACACAACCACTCTTGTTTTTTGCTTTTCTCATTATACAATAGCGATTTGAGTTGTTTGAACAAATGGCTCTTCCAGCTGCCAGCAGTGGCTGTACCTGACGTTGACTAAGCCGACCTGTTCGGATGTAGGTAGTGGAGATGTAACGAACTTGTGGAGTAGCTGATACTTGACTAAAATTCAGACTGATTCAAGCGTGATCTGGGATCTTTCTCAGGAATACTGTATGGCCCTGTGATATTACCTCTGGCACCGGACATCCTGGATGCCAGTGCAAAGGGGTTAATGTAACTGGCTAGTGGAAATCCCTCACTTTTTCTACACTCACATGCAGCTGGAAGGACACGTGTGTGCTATCTAATATTTGGATTCCTACACAAAGCAGTTCCTGTATCTGACTTCCAGATGGTTCGTTACATCTTTAACATAAACAGGTCTGCAACTGCACGTGTAGACTGATGTGGGGGCTCACAGAGCTGGCTTGGGTTCACTTACCTTTCAGTTTAGATAATTAAGATGGATGCAGCCCAGAAGACCTCACCATTGTGTAATCTTAGTCTTTTGACTGCCCCACGTTAGATCTGTGTTATGCACTGGTGTAGAAAGTGATCCCCATTGGCATAAGCTCCCAGCCTGCTGGGGCGGAGGGGTTAAGCTGAACACAAGTGCATTTTGTGGTGAGGGGGAAGTTAAGTTTATAGGTTCCTTGGGCGTCTGAGACTAACTCTAGGAGTTAAGGTTTGAATCTATTCGTGCGTCCTTGCACGAGACAGATAATTCATCCTAAATATCAGTATTATGCACAGTGTAATTTTTAAAAAACCCAATCAGGTCTGGTAAATTGGCTCTTTTGTACTTTGGTTCCAGATCTGAGTATATGCTGTGACCGCCTTGTGCAGAGGCAGGACAAAGAGCAGTTGTCGTCTTCAGGTCTGTTACCAAAATCTCCTCTCAGTGGAAGTAAAAAGGGTGGCCACAAGTGTTGGTTTTCCATGGAAAGCTATGCACAAACTGGTCATTATTTTAGCTCTTTTCCCTGCCCCTCCCAGTGTTTATAAAATAGTAAATACCTTTCATAGCTATACCTAGCCAGGTGTGAATCACACACACACTGTAAAGGTTTCATGTACACTTGTAGGTTGCTTTTTAATACGGTCTCAGATGAAAATGCCATCACTTGAGTTGGCTTCACAGATCAGTGTAAAGAACTGTGAATGGTCATCTGTGCCAGTTTAGGAAGAACTTCAAAGAAAAGAGGAATGTTAACGTAATTCATTAACACAGCAAACTGATTGACCTGCTGTTATAGTCCACCTTCTGGAGGAGGGCAGCCCATGTACATGTCATCTAATCTCCCGTAATAGGGAGGTACCGAGCAAGGTTTCTTCCTGAACTATTTTCATTTGAGCCAAGGTGAAATTCCAGCCAGTACCAACAGTACCTTATTCAAGTCTAGATAATGCTGCAGCTGTCTGCTAAGGCATGTGTGTACAATGGAATATTGCAGGGAGAGTAGTGGAGATAACTAACTGGAGGCTGGTTTTCCTTCCTTCTTAGTAAAAATGTGTACAGTCAAGCCAGTCTCATAACTCAGTAGCTTGTGCAATATCTTGCCAGAGATGTGCATTTCGAGCAAGCGGGGACACTTGGGCTAGATGGGACCTTTGCTAAACTGATGCGTCAATCTGAGGGGGCAGAAAAGGGAAAGGAATGGACAACTTGTGCCATTCCTCCTTATACTCTGGATATGAAGTCTCCTTGGAGCTTTTCTGCCTCCCAGTACTCATTCTTAGCTGGCACTGGAGCCTAAATGCTGTCATGTCCTTGTCAGGAAGCTTCTCCACTCAATTACCCCTTCTAGCTGTGTGCTGCAAAAATAGTTCCACTGAGCCGCACCTTTCAAGCCCTGCCACACTGCAGTCTGCCAGGGCTCATCTCATTGCTGCCCTTCTGGAAGGTGGCAATTGCTTGAATGCTTGAATTAGGTGACACTGACTCCCCCCAAAAAATCCCTTTTGGGTTTTTTTGTCTCCTAGTAGCAAAATGGCTGAAAACAGACATTGCCCAGTGTCGTTGTAGGAGTGTCTGGGTGAGACAAAGCTAGGCAGTTACCCTACACCACACTTAGGCTACTGTTAGTTTCTAAGGCTTGGCTACACAGGAAGTTATTATGAAATGAGGTAGGATGTGAATTTAAAGTACAAGAGCTATTCTGGGCCATTTTGTCATGTAGACGAGTCCCAAGGGCATGTCTGCACTGCAAGTACTGGGGGAACCCACCTGCTCACAACATGGCTAAAGCACAGCTGCATTGTGTAGTGTAAATGGGGACCCCACCCACTCCTCAGAGTGCTCACTGGGATGGGCACATGGTTAGGGTCCCACCTACTCTACAGACCAGATGTGCTTTTTCTGAGTCATCGACATCGATTTGTAAGTCTACAGACTGGGCACAGAATCAATATTCCTTAAACTAGCTGTTTCCATTGGAAAGATGTCTGGTGTGGTGAGCTCACAAAGCAGAGGATTTGTAGAGTCCAGCGGGTCCTGAGCCCTCGCCAGCAGACAAGATGGGCTTGTGTTTTGTTTGTTCCCTGCTGACAACATGACACTTATGAGGTGGTTCATCCTGCACAGCCTCTGTGGAGGGAGTTTCTGGGTCACCTCCTGCTGGTTTGATGCTTTTTTATGCAGTACTAATGTTGTAAAAAACACTTGTTGGGTTTTATGCATATTTTTTATTTTGTACAGTTTTGAATTCTGTAGATTGTCCAGGGATGATGCTATGTAATGAGCATAGACCAGGCCCAAAGTAATCGGATTTTGTATGTACTGTTACATAGACTGCATGCTATTAACGTCAGTGAGGGTTGTGTTTCCAGTTCTATCATTTGTAATCCCTCCCCCCCATTTCATTTTCCCCTTTTATTTAAATAGTTACTTCAAAAAGGGGTGGGGGCTTGGGCAATAGGCTATTCAAATAGAGGCAGAACTTCTTTGCATGGAGTCCTGTCAAAGCTGAAATGAAGGTGTTAAGAATTACCAGCTGCTGGTCATTCAGTGTTTTTCTCTCTGCAGGGGGTGGGGGGGTGGGTAGGAGAAAAGGACACAGCAGAATAGTCCAAAGCAAGCCTTAGGCTCAAAATACTAATTCTCTATCCCTCTCTCCCCACAACCCACTGCTTTTTTCAATCCACAAAAAGTAGGGGGAGGGGGGGGAGAGCTAGTCCACCATGGCCTCTGGAGCTCTTGTTAGAGGGTTAGTTGGGATGGGAATAGCCCTTGCTGAAGAAATGATGCTGTGCAAGTATTTCAAAAATGTTACTTTATTAAGAAGTTTTGGTTTCCTGGAAAAGAACGAAATACATCCTGGTCCTAGCACAAAGCTACACTACAAAGAGGGGTCTCACCTGTATTACAGCCAGCCGGGGGAGGGTGCTGGCTTTGAGTCCTGTTTCTCTCACTGATGCTCACAGAGGGGGAGTGTACAAGAAATTCAGCAACTGGTTCCCAAGTCCTCAGATACGGCCGTCTATAAGTTGTGCTTCTCCATGCACTGCCCTAAGGGGCCTGCTGTTCAGAGGCAGGCGTACAAAAGAGCTAGTTTGTGGTGGAAGCTTTGCTGTTGTCTCAGTAAAGCACTATAGGGGAGATAATTCCCTGTGATATTTCACAATGTCATTTTCAGGGACTGGGGGGGAGGAGCGATTTGCTAACAGGTGCCTCTGCACATTGAGGAGAATTACAAAGTATGAATCTTCACCAGCAGGAGATTACAACTACTCCAAACCAAACCCCCCCCCCCCCTTGGGCAGTGGAAAGAGCAAATGATTTAGGAGGTTCTCAAAGGATCAAGTTGCTAGTGGACCCCGTGGAGGTCTCCAAGCAGTTGAAGAATGGAGTGGGTTAGAAGGCTAGCGCCTGCCTTCAATGCAGATTTGTCTCCCTTCACTCTAGGTGAAGTGTGGCAAATTTAGGGGCATCTCCTCTCTCCCATGTAGGTCTCAGGTTACCCCTGCCACTTGCTTACTTCCCCTGAGCCTGGAAGTGCCCCCCTTTTCTCACTCACAGTCCCTCATTACGGGCCAGGCTGTGATCTGCTCTGCACAGGGAAATGGGAATAATTGCCAACCAAACTTGTTTGCTGTTCATAGTCATAGGAAAACCCCTGACGTTGACAGCCTGCGACACCTGGGCTGAAGCACGCTGATAGGCCTGTCTCATTGCTTGCTGGTGTGTTTTTGGGGTGGGGGGAGGAGGTGCTCTTCACACAGCACAATTTGTTCAGTGAGGAACGCTCACCTTCTGCCAGAGGCACCAGTGGACCAGTGCTCCCCTCTGGGGGGGGGGAACAGTTTTTGCAATGTGGTAAAATAAACCCTGCCCTTTGATGCGGAGTCCAGTCCTTAGGGGCTTTTCTGCTGTGTGCCAGTGGAGACTAGGATCTACTCTTCCTGAAGGGCTTCGTTTCCAGTCTTAGCCTGCTGCCCTAACATGAAAGCAGAACATGATTGAGAGGGTTCCCCTACAGAAGCAGGAGCTGTGAAATTGGGGTACTGTATATGTTGAAAATTACTTATAGCCTTGCCCCCCTGGGAGCAGAACAGGGCATGTAAGAAATGGGGCTGAGTGATGGATTAGGTTCTAAGCTGTGAATAGTGAAGCCCTGTGCTCAGGTAATCACCGGTAGCTGGTTTCCAAATGAAGGAAGCAGCACTGTAGGCATACTTTGGCCATAGCAGTTTTTGAAAACCTGAGCTCCAGGCAGAGTACAGGGGAAAGCACACAGCTGTTGCATTTGCCAAAGGGGTAATCTTGTTTCATGCCTCTAGTATTTGGAACCAGCCAAAACCAAATTCTGAGGGTGGGAGATTAAGAGTCCAAATTTCCCGCTCCTGCAGCCTAATGCTGAATTGGCTGTAATTACATTTTTCTGGATAGTGCTCTAATACACAGTGGAAAAAATAACGCAAGATTTTTTTTTTTTAATATTCAGTAGCTGAACTCACTCGGTCCATGGTCCTAGTGCTTTATTTTGAAACTCCAAAAATAATAGTGCACCCCAGCCCCATCTTTGGGAAGATACTTGAAAGCTAAATCACAGACCATGGGCCACCTCTGCTTTCATTTGTGTTCTGTGCAACTTCCATGGCCGCAAGTGGAGTCTAAGGGTACAGTAAACATGCTGATTCTATTAGCACGTTGCACTGTTGCTCTTACAAGGCACAACAGGGTGTTTGATAAAGCCTCGGGGGCAGGCTGTTAAAAGGTAGCCTTTCAACCCACCTCCTGACTCCTTAATACAGGACTTTGCCGAGACGGGGGCAGCACATTTTTTGGTTCGTATTGATAACCTCTGGAAAAAACCCAGAGCTGTGTACAAATTGGTTTCAAGGTTAAGCGCTGACCTCATCTGAGATTTTTGTGAAGAACAAGTGCTTATTTTCATCTTTGAAGCGTGTCTTTTGCAATGTGTAAGGACACGTGGTTGCTATGAATTCTCTGGAAAAACATCACTGTCCTCTTGTTCCTGTACATTTTTTTCTTCAAAAAACAAAACACCCACTTTGGCTCAGTCTAATAAGCAATTTTTGGCTCTGTGGCTGATTTACTCAGAGCCTCCACTCTGCTATTGAGTTTGGTGAAGTAAGTTACAAAACATGCAGGACTCAGGGGAGTTGCATGCCACCGGAAAACAGTTCCTGGGTGTGTACCATTCAAACCACCTTCCACTGATTGGGGAACATTAATTTTTTAAAATTTTTTAATTGTACTTGGAACTAACTGTTGCTGTGTACTAAACCCTCTTGTAACAAGTCCTGAATAAAAACACAAAGCACACATCCAAGTGTCCTGTGAATATACCGCTTCTGTAACACTTCATGGGTTAATGACAATTGCTGGCCAGCGAATAATGGGCATAGACAGACGAGAGTCGGTCACACAGCTGCCAGCAGGCTCTCAGGTGGACATACTGCGAGAGATCAGAGCTATCTCCACTGCATCATTAACTAGACACATGCCTACAGCATGTCATCCGCTGTGTGTTAATGATTTCTAAGGTTTGACTAATAGGGTTCATTTTTTTTCCAGCCTTCCACTTCAGTGCTTCACAGAGGTGGGTAAAATCACATCAGAGGCACCACCTCCCTAATCCCATAGCCAACTCTCACTTTCCCTTTTGCACAGGGGCAGCGTTGACGTCAAGAAGTAATTCATGATCCAAATTCTTCCCTTGCCCTGGATTAAGACAGTGTTGCTAGGCACCAGTCCCCCATAGTCCTATCTTAAAGTGGGAACAGAAACAGCTGTGCTAGCAAGAGGAGCTGTGTTCCTACCCTCTCCTTTAGTTGGAGACGCATGGAAGCTGGCACAAACCCATCCCTGCCTAGCCTTTGCGACTAGGGCCACAGACTAACCTAAGTCAAGCAAACCCAAGAGTCTTGCTGCACCTGTTCTTGGAAGCAGCATGTAAAAGCAACTGAAGGGGATGGTGGCGGGAGGTTCTGTAGCTGAAGCAGCAGGGCTAGGCCATATCGGGGATGTAAGAACTTCCCTGTTAGTGGCCACAGAGGAACAGCAACTCCACTCTGTGTTGTATGCCGGGGGAAGAGCATCTTTCTTAAACACCAGCCCTGCAGTGCCACATGGGGAAGCCCCAACCCCAAAGGTACCTAATTTGCATTACAAAAACTTGTCTTTACATCACCATACACTAGGCCTCCTTGCACAAGGCAGATAGCATACAACAATGTGGTGCTCTGTGCAGTTCACAGAAGAGTGCCATGTAGACAAGCCCTGACACGCTCTCCATTTGGTTCTGTTAGAGCAGGGTGCCCAACGTATGGTCCACCAGAACATAAGACCTGGAGCCTGCTTCAACACAATATGCTAATGGCTTATTCATTAGCATTTTGTCATCATATTTACATCATTATCAAGTACGTTAATATACTCTACTGTACAGAGAAATAACCTGTCTAAATACACACAAAACAAGCTGAACTTTAAATCAATGCAGGTGACTTTAAATCTTATTAAATACTTAGAATCTGTCTGGCCCAGACCAGGTTGTGTGGCCTTCCTGTGTGACCAGCTTGGGACCACAATGCTAGAGCCAGATTCTCGACTCACAGGCCAGGCACCGCTTGGCGCAGGGCACAGGTGCAGAAATATGCCTGAAGCAAAGGCGGCGGATTGCAGGAAACCTCAGCCTCATTTGTCTCAGGCTGTGAAACCTGCAGTGCTCAATCTGAGCTTCAACGTGAGTCCAGCTGCTTTATTAATAGGGGCATTCTGTAGAAGTGCAGTATTTTTCCAATGTATTTCTAGTAAGGAATGATAAGGGTACATAACATTTCTAGGACGCAGACAAGAATGAGCCAGTTTGAGGCCTTATTTCATTTCAGACCAGACCAGAGGATTTAGTTTATACTACCAGAACCTGCTAGTCCCATGAAAGCCTGGTTGGTATGTCTACCTTCACTCCAGCAAGGCACATTATAATCTCATGAAAACATAAAATGGCAAGACAGGGAAAATAAAACAGAAAGCATTAAATTTAACTACATCTTTATTGAATTGTGCATATTCTATTGTATAATGAGCTATAGTGGGTACTTTATAATGCAGTATTTCTTTTGTCCTCTCCCATGCTTAAAAAAGTATATTTATACATATATTTATATATATTTATAACATGGCAAAGCTCCCCCCAACCTGAAATTGTCAGAGTTTCAAAGAGCCTTGTTTTTTGTTTTGAAAGGGGGGAGGGGGAGCAGTCCCATTCAAAGATAAAATGTGCAATTTGTTTTAAAGCAGTAAACATATGAATGTATTTACAGCACGTTCAGCACAAGCTTGCTGCACAGACAAATCATTGTAATATTTTCTTACATGTGCATCTCCACTATTATAAAGGACACCATCAGTGGCTGCTAACAGTTAGTGAAAGCCGTGAAACAAGCGGTGATGTTCCAGTTAATGCTTGTTCCATGGCAGTTTAACAGACAGAGTTAGTTACAACTTATGACGAAGCAGACAGGAAAACCAACCCCATTTTGTTTTCTGTTTAAATACAAACTCTATCCCACTGCAGCATACGAACTACTCACCACTGCAGCAGAAGACTGAGGAAGCAAATTGCTTAGAGTGTTTTACTACATTACATTATTTTTCCTGAATGGTGAGATGGGGACTTAATGTGTCTAGATCAGTGGTTTTCAACTTGTGGTCCACAGACTGTAAGGGGTCTGTGAAATGTGACTATGAAAATAAAGTTTCAGATCCCAGAGAACGCATTCTGTTCTTCTGATCTATCAAAAGTATGTGAATAGCTCCCCCTGCAGGTCAGCCCACAGAAGCCCACAGTTTAGCGCCCTTTCTCCCGCTGTGTCAAATGCTGTGCCTTGCACCTGCAACACTGATTGAATGCTTTTCGGTCAGTTTCCAGTCTGACTTCTACGGTAGAGGTGTGTGGACCAGAGGTTGAATTTCCAAAGGGGTTCGCACCTTTGAAGTTTTTCAGTGGTCCGCAAATGAAAAAAGGTTGAAAACCACTGTTCTAGATAATTATTACACTACAAATGTGCAACAGCATCTACTCCACAGGGGCACAAGCCTGCCACCTCTTGCAAAACACCTGCCTTATCTCTTCATGCTGTACATTGGCACCTGTTGATTTCTTTAATTTAGCTGCACCCCAACTCCTACATGCTCACTCTCAAGAACGAAGAAAGCAGGTAATGGCGACATCTTTGGTAGACAGCGGTGTAATCGCAAAGAAGTGTAGCTAGGGCAGTGGTGGGTAAGAGACTCTCACAGTAGAGGAAAAGGTCAATTCTCCTGCCTTCTGAAAGTATACTCAGGACTTCAAATACCTGGCAGAAGCACTGTTGCATCCACCTGCGATGGAGCTGAAATTGTAGTCCCAAAAAGGGGTTTTACATTTTATACTAGTAGTTCCTTATCTCAGGAACACTATTTACAAGTCATTCACTAGATATTACAGTACTGCACCCCAAACCAAGGGGGGAATTTGGGTTTGGGTAATTGACAGTCTTTCCGCCCAGCCTCTGCTGCATCTCCTCTCAAGCGCCATACACAGGCCTGGTGGATACTGTGGGTGTTTAGCACCTATTCCCTCCACCCCCAACCCCAGAATTAGGCCCTGTGTGAATCCAGACGGACCATTACTGGTTCCATTCTCTGCGGTGTTTTTTATTTAAATATACAAGGAATAAATGTATTTACAGTACTTATTTCTCTCTTCAAAGCTTAACTAAGTTTGTAATTCATGAGATGGAACATAATCAGCAGAACCCTTTGCTCTCAGCACTTGGTACCATGTAACTTGTTATTGGAATGCTTTGCTGTTTATTTGCCCCCCAAATGAAAAGACTTGAAAGGGAAATGGCAAGTCACTTTACAACAAAAATGTACATGTTATAAATAAAAGCTTTACAGACAGGAACCTTCAGGGCTGAAACATTTCAAAGGAAACATTTCCCCCGAAGTGTTTGCCACCCATCTGCTCTACAGCATCCTCCTAATTTGAGAACACCAGGAACTGAAAATGAGTAAAGAGAAGTATGAGAGACTATTTTCACTGTCCAGGCCGAGGGAAATCGCACCCTCCCCCGCAACATAAAATAAAAAGCGACGTAAAATATTTAAAATCACTTCAATGTTAATATGCTAGAGTATTAGTAACAGTAGAGGAACATTGCTTAAATTACTAACATGTACCCTTCAAAGAAGAAAAAAACAGATTATTTGGGTCTTTATCTCAGGTTATGGCTGGCTGCTGAATTAGCGTTTATAGTATCAAAACTTTGAATAGTTGAGATTTCAGCAAATTCAGTTTTATGGAAAAGAAAAACCTGCATGCTGAACATTTGTGAAGTTGCAAAAAAGAAAGATTTACAGAGGGAGTTGCAACAACCCCAATGTAAATTTATAAACAAGTGTTCTTGGATTTAATTTTCAGGAGAACTAAAAGATCAACTAGAACATATCATGGTCAATTTCACGCAGAACTCCAGCTCAAATGGGAGTTTTGCTCCATCAAGGACCAACACACTTCAGCTCTATAAAACCAGTCCTGCAAGCTGATGTGCGTACTCAACTACCATGGAACATACCACTGTGATCAGCTAGTCTGACCTCCTGTATATCACAGGCCCTAAGACTTCCCTGAATTAATGCCTGTTTGAACAAGAGCCTACAAATATAAAACATTCTGTTCCGAGTCATCCCACTGCAAATCCAGAGCAACGGCATTGATTTCAGTGGAGTTACTCTGGGTGGAGTGGTTGTATCACGCAATAATCATTTAGATTCCTGTATGTTAGGGCTGCATAAAAACCAATCTAACAGGACAGCGTCAGCTTCAGCTGCACGAAAAACAATTTCCCCTTGTCACTCGCTAATGGAATAGGGCTCTTTGCAGTTTTCTGTAACCAGTGGGGAAAATCATTTTTCCTTCTAGTGCTGAACCTGCACTTTCACTTCTCTTCTCATGGAAGAAAATAGTTTCAATCCAGACTGAGGCTGACTGTTCTTGGATTTAATTTCACCTATGGGCACTGAGGTAAAAAGATGAAAATAGCTTCTTATCGTGCAACGCGAGAACATTCAAGCACTAGACACTAAAGCAATTTCAAAACTACACTGGGCCGAGAATTGTTTACATTCCTTTTTCTCTGTTCTGAAACCTAGGTGACAGTCTACTTTTAGCGGTTTTTCTTCTGTGCTGCACTACAAATAGTGATCATTCTCTCTGGGCACATTATGGAGGTGCTCTCTACCTTTGCAGACCTGCACATATTCAGCGCAGTCAGTT